CTCTCTTGAGGTGGAAGCTAATAAACGCAACAGAACTGTATTTGCATTGTCTCGTGGAGTTCTTTGGGCTGAACCTGACATCAATCTCACCAGACTCAACTCAAGTTCCCAAGCCAGCCAGCCAAACACCGTGAATTCCTTAGGGAGGTGCCAGCCTCATCTTTTTGAACTTCCCACATTCCTGTTGGGGGCTAAGAACACGCTTATCTCCCTGAGCATGGCCTTCATAAGTCCATTCCATCACATAAGCAGACTTCTAACACCATTGGGCTAGGAGAACCTCCAGCACTTCAATGGAGGACAAAGAATTATTATGGACAAGAGTAAGGTACAGGGTGGGAAATCCCAAGGGTTTTTTTTTATATCAAACTGAGCATGGTGGTGCAGGAGATACTTATTTCATTCTTTTTCCTCTGTGCAACTTCCTTAAGTAATTTCCCTCCAACCATCTCTGATACTCCAAGGTGAGCTGGGAAGAAGCAGTTGAAAGGATCCAATACACAAGGTATGGAGAGATGGCTGGCTGGATCTGATGTTCCACAAATATCCCCCTCACTCCTGATTTATACTCAAATAGGACAGGAAGCTTTGGCTACAGCTACTCCATCTTGGTTGCCCCAGAGCTTCTCCCTGGCTCTGACTCTATTGCCACTACAAACCTCTTTTCTGTTAACGCCGTCCTGCTAAAATGTAGAATGAGCTGATGCAAAGGGTCTGGCTTCTTTTCCTCCTCCTCTTCCTCTTCCTCTTCTTGCTGTCCAGGTTTCTACATCCCATATCCCACAATAGGAAAAAGAGCATTAGAAATTCAGTTAGGGCACCTCTAAAATGTAGCATTTCTCCTAAAAAAACCCCCAAGGAATAGAGTTTCTTTATCCAGGGTTGGGGAAAGAGGGCCTGAGAGATAACAGAAGGCATGGGGAACACATAAGACCCATCCTCAACATTTCATAATGAATTTAAGTTATGAAGGACCTTTCCCTCCCGTATCTGCCAGGTATGTGGTTAGAATGGCATTCCACCCCCCGCCCCCCAAGCTAATTAATCTAGTTCAGTGTTTTTCAAACTTAGCAACTTTAAGATGTGTGGACTTCAACTCCCAGAAACCATGCACTCAGTTGACCCCATTCTCATGTCTTTGCCCCAAGAAGACTCACAGACAGATCATCAATCATTCTGTCTTCAAAGGGGTGTTCTTCAGTGAAGATCCAGGAGTACTTGTAGCTCTCCAGGAACATGTTGCAAGCCCGATGCCTGAGGAGCAGAGGAGGAAGGTCAGCAGTGTCCTCCACCCCAACCAGCTGACTCACCATTTTGGCAGTGAACCTGTTAGGTGAGCACAGACCTCTCCCGCTGCTGGAAAAGGTGAATCTGTATATGGGATGAGCCAAATTCCAATCAGTGGGCCAGGAAACCGAGCTGTACTAACTCACCTGGGCAGGTTATAGAGGGGCGTCATGCGGAAGCACGCAACCACTGCACGCCGCCGTTGCTTGGAGAGCAATTTGTGCCACACAGCTTTCTTGGATTTGTATGGGTGCTCTAACTGCATGAGAAGGCAGAAGGAGAATTGGGGTTGGAAGGCAGGACAGCCAACACTTCTCTCCTTCAACCCCCCCTCACAAGCTTTTCCTGATCAGTGACTTCCTTCCCATTTCTTTGTACTCTTTCTCAGTGGAGGCTCCTCCCTCTGAAAACCCAATATATGGAGGGTGTTCCATCAAGAAGATGGGTTACTAGGTCAAAATCCACTCATATCATATCCACAACGCCATCCCAAGTGACTCAGTGTTAGCTGGACAGCTCCAAGTGCGCTGAATTGCCTTGCATGCTTATAGCCTCAAGCTCTCATCACGTACAATTATGGAATGGACCTGTAGAGGGATGACTTTGGGGTTAGGCTGGGAGATTAAGGCAGCCTGAATTATGGATGTTATTGCAGTGTTGGTGTTACTCTTAGCTGCCATTCTGCGTATATTTATTGTTGGTGCTTTTTATTATTGTTGACTTGTTTTTAATTGACTTTTACGTTTGTTAGCCACCCAGAATCACTGTTGTGAGATGGATAACTATATACATTACCTAAATAAATGAACTGCTAAAATTTGGGAGGCTCTCAGCAGTCATGGCGCTATTTTTCGACCTACAAACTTGCCAAATCACTTCCATGGGTCGATACCTGCTCCAGGTGGTAGAGCACTGCAGAGACCTCTTGCACCCGTTTGACAATCTTCTCTGGCTTGTTGGAGTCCTCGGCCTTCCCAGACATCTCCTTGTAGAGAGCCAACTGCCAGCGCATGGAGGAGGAATTCTCACACTGCAAGGCAAATGGGGACAGCCACATAGCTGAGAAAGGGGCGAAGCAGCCAGGTCTGACTGGACGGTTTGGTACAGTGAAGAGGCCACTTTGGGTGATGCGCAGGGACTGGTGGCAAACTGGGGCAGGTGGCCTTCACCTGCAGAGCATCACCCTGAAGCCAGGCAGAAACTGACTATCACCACTGCTGCCACCAGAGAAGGAACACCCAGGAGGAAGCGTGTAGAGGAAGAAGATGATGCCTCCTTTTGATTCAGGCCACAGCCCCTCTTAAGCTTCCCTAGACGCATTCATCCTTCTTTTTAAAAACTTTCTTCCTCACTGTGTGTTTTTCTAACTGTGTATTTCCACACTCTATTCTACCGTTTAGGCCACATCGCCTACCCTCTGGAATACTGGGACTCCCCCCCATTCATGCGCCTATCACCCTAGCTATTTAAACAAGCTCTTAAAACCAGACTCTATCCCCAGGTCCTGGGTAAGAATGGGTGATGGACCCCCTGTGGGATGTTTTGACCTTTTAACTGATGGATGATGTTTTTTCCAGATTCTTTTTGGTGATAGATTCTGTGTTTTATTATATTCGTCGCTGTAGTTTGTAAGCTGCCCAGACTCATAAGAGATTGGGGCAGTGGGAGGGAGGATGGACAGACGGATGGACAAAAGTTACTTTCTAATTCATGTGCTCATCCAGACAGGAAGGGAGCAAGTCAATGTATGGCAAAACTTGCAAAAACTGAATTCCAAAAGTATTACTTTCTGGAGCAGTTCCAGGTTCTCACCTTGCCTTGAAGATGTAGGTTGTTGTTGAGATATTCACGCACCTCTTCATCAGTGTCTTTCTGCAGAAAAGGAGAGCTTCACATGAACAAAGCCACCAAGGAAGGATCCCAGAACAAGTGCCTGTTCCCACCAGTTTTATCCCTTTTTAAATATGCTATTGATTGTGATTTTGTTTCTAAACGTTTGTGTTCCTTGACTGATAGCACGGAAGGATTTGTATCCTTGATGGCAGGATCAATCAAACAAAGTACTCAAGGAGGAACATGTTCAGTGTAATCCTGGGGGGCAACAGAGTTTTCCCTTGCAGCTTCTCTTTCCTCCCTCAACTAGGAAAGTGCATGCCTGTTTCATGCCCTCTCAATCATTTGGGCTGCCTGGTCCACCCCTTTCCAGCTCCACAGTTGAGTGGACCTCCTGAAGCTGCTTCAATTTTAGGCAACCATGGTCAACAGCTGGGGAACCTGGGAGACTTGCCAATGCCTCCTCCCTGACGTCCTGGCAGGTTCCTCACCAGGGCATAGCGTATCTTGGCCAGGCTGATCAGCTCTTGGTCAGTTGGGGAGCACATGTTCAGGCCAATGGGAAGCATCTTCTTCAGTGTGGCCACAATGAGGGACGTGTGGACAGAATAGCGGTCCCCCCGGCGCTTCTTCTTGTGCCGTTCCTGGTCTGAGCCACCTGACTGGGAGAGAAAGACTGCAGTCAGCCTGGTGGGAAGGGAAGCTGTTCCACTCAGGTTGTCCCCTGGCATGCCAACAGCTTGACCGGGCAAAAGCTTTAATGACCAAGCACTACTTCAGACATGGGGATTCCATGACCTGGGTGGGAGAGTTGGACAGGCTCCTCTCTCAAGAGAATGTGGGGAAGGTAGAAGAGAAGATGCTGAAAAATCTAGTGTGACAAAAGTGACCCCCCTCAGGGAGGTAGCAATACAAAGCAGAGATCTGCTGCCTCTAATACTCAGGGGCCTAGGATCAGCCATCCGTGGCTTCTAAAGCCATCTGTCGGGAGTGCGTGGATCAAAGTCCCATTCCATGCATCAGCGTTTTGATCCACAACCCGGAGACAGAAAGAAGTGCTTTCACTGGACTTCGGAAGTAATAATGCACATGCAGAGGTTATCTTGGTATAGGGAGAGCTTCCTCTGGAAGTGAGAAGGTGGTGTTAGGAAGCGAAGAGGGAAACCCATTTGGGGGAACTGGAGGAGAGATATGGGGGTGCAGGGCTGGGAATGAGGAGTTAAAATGAGTAAGAGGCAATTGCTGGTCAAGGGAACAATCTGACATTTTAGCAGGATTTGTGGAAGAGCTCATATCAGGGGTCAGGGGTGTCCGCAGGGTGCAGACAAAAAAGTCAAGATGGCGGCTGCCGTGATGTGATCAAGGCTGTGCCTGTTTTTTATGTGATGCATATAAAAAGCAGGCAGAGCTTGGATTGCACCATCATGGCCACCAACTTGATTTTTTTGACCACGTCCTGCCCTGTCCGGAGTTGCAGATGGAAAGGAGACTCTGAAGTTTATCTCATAGACACGGACATTAGGAGAGAAAAAAAAATCAGATTTCTCAAGCACCGGCCAAATTTTCAGAAGGGGCAGAACTGAGCTGATGTGACATGGAGAGGCCATCTTCCTCCCTCCCTGGGATAAAAGTGAAATGGAGTAATTCAGGTAAATAAAGACAACAAGACACATTCCAGCGCCTTTGCTCACTTAACAGTCAGCCTTCTAACCTCTACGCATAACCGCACACAAGCACGGTTGGCAGCCGGGAGATGGGAACTGTCACGAGGGGCATGAACAGGCCACCTCTTTCTCCCTCCCCTGGAGTGGCAGGGCAGGATGATGGGCTCTGGGGTCCACAGGGAAGAGAAGGGGACCGAGAAGATGGGTTGAGATTAGGTGAAGGCATCCCAAGGCATGCTGGGAGTTAAGGGACATATTTTTTTAGTACTGGCTTTTGGAGGCTTCGGGACTTCCCTTCAGTCCTGCCAACCGGGTGCTGGATAGCTGGAAGATGCCAACCCATCACATGTCTGATGCACTGCTGCCAGACCTGCAAAAAGCTACTGCGCTCTTGCCATCGTCCATGCAGCCGCACCCCCTTCCCTTCCTCCCGGCCCCGATTACTTCAGAACGATCCCCCTCCCTCTAAACAGGGAGGGAGGGAAGGGTTGCGGCAGAGATACTCCATGCTGCCTTGATGGGGCCCAAAGGCGGCAAAAGAACAAGGGGCAGTGGAACAGCTGTGGTTTTGCTAACCTGGCTTTCTTCAGACTAAACCCACATGTGAAGAGGGAAGAAGAGGGAGACAAGACAGGAGAAAGAGAAGGTTAGATGAGTCGTCGTCCCCACCTCTCCGCTACCCAGAGGAAGGACTCAGAGCAAGAACTGTCCGCCCTGAACTTGGTGGATCCAAGATGCCGTGAAGGCTCCCATCACCCAGATTCTTGTTTCTTCCTCCCCCCAGTCTACATCTGGCCAATCAGTCCAAAGCATCTGAAATGCCCAAACATGATTACTAATTCTCACCATATCTTGCCAATTTTTTCCTTCCCAAAGGGGGAAAAATTTTTTTCTAGTTCTTGTTAGTTGCAAGAGGACCAAGAACAGGCAAACAAGCTGACGGGAAAATCCCTGACTAGGGCATCCCTAAGTTATGTGGTTTGGACTCAACCTACATGTCAGGTTTAGCCCAAGGAACTCCAAGAGACAATGCAAAATCAGTTCAGCTATGTTTAT